ACACTTTGCAGATTAACGAGGCATCAAACAACAATACAGACTCCAGTAAGAACGCAATGAAGCGCTTCTCCAGTTTCATCACGTCGTTTTTGTGTGGATAGGAATGATACAGTCAATTGAGATACCAAATGGTCCGTTATTACATCTCCTGTCCACCATTCATGCGGCGTGCTCGTCTCCACGTAGTGCGGGAACTGTGTCATGAGTGATCCGTCATTGCAGATATGCGTAATAGCTGCTGTGTCTAATATAAAATAATGAATTAGAGGAATCAGACGTCGACAACAATGTAGGCCCAGTACTTGACACATCACAAGTACTTTCAACACGACCGATCATTCCCAATGGTAACGGCTAAGGAGGTCCACCTTTGTTTCCCCCATATCCTCTGGAACTATCACCAGAATTGCTGCCACACTTTGCCTTTTCAGTACCTACATTGCCGTGCTTCAGATCAAATTTGAGCTCACGACACTCAATTTGTGATGGCCTTTTTTATCACAATAGAAGCACTTGCCCTTCTTTCGTTTACCAGGACCAAATTTTGGATTGGCTTTGCTTCCTTCTTCACTGGATTTAGCTCCACCAGATTGTGCTCCACCGGGCTTAATCTAGCTGTATGTTTACTAGATTTGTCAACCGTCTTCTGTTTCTTAGCCACGTGCATGATCTGCAAATTTCCTTCTTCCTCAATGCGGACGACCTCATCCATCTCGGTCTCGGACTTCAGTGTGTTCAAGACTTGCTGCAGAGTGGGTTGGGACCCGGGAGCCATGATACGAGAAAACTGACACACGACATATCTGTGTGTCTGCACTACTCCTATGCGAATCACGTCCATAGTGAGATCATCATAGGTTAGCCAACGCTTGACGTGTGTCGTGAATCTCCTGAAGCCAAGAATGCATCGTTTGCTCACGAGTGTAAGTTGCGTGGAAAAAATGCTTCAATACCCACACGTAATTAGAAAATTCATGTTTTGTATGGTGTGCTTCCAGATCTTCCCACATTTCCTTGCCAGTTGAAAGATCACACATACGCTCAGCGTCTTCAATTTTAGCACCACGAAGCAACGCATCTTTCGCAAAGAGGTCCAACATGTCGTAGCGTTGTTGAAGTTTCCCATTTACAGTCGGACGCTGTACGGATCCATCGACCAGACCCCAAGTATTAAACCGATGTAAATAGTTCATAACTTGAGTGCGATAGAGGTTAAAGCTTCCTGTCATCTATGGTGGGGTTCTGTCCGCATCCATCGCCAGGTTAGGCGGTGGCAATGGTATCGTTTGATGTTGTTCTCCATTAGCGTGCAATCTCGCTGAAGCATTTACCACCGGAGTTCCTGTCAAAATGAGCGTTGAAGGTGGTGAGCTCATCGCAGGAGCAGACTGCGGCTGTGGAGGCTGAAGGACAGGAATCCCGCCAGCACCACTAACCAGCGGACCTACCAGTTCCGCCGCTGCTGACGCTTCAGGCGTTGATACAGCCATCAACCGTCGCGACGCGGTCGCAGACGGAGTTCCAAGTCTGACATCGAAGGTAGCGTCCACGACATCGTCAGCGTTCACGTAAGTTCTGGAAGCTTACTCCAATCTTGGGCTCATATCCTAACAGTGAAAGTCTGCTACTCGTTCACTTGCAGAGGTCGCGTACGATGTCTGGGCAGTGAGCACGACGGAAGAAGTAAGCGTCAACACAATACTCGCCCCACACTTGGCAGATTGGGAATTGCTGGAGCTCGCACACTTTGTGGACTCCGTTAGAAATAAAAAATGTCAACCAAGCGTCTCACGGGTGTGTGACTACCAATACTAAAAATACTTCTGGTTTCGGAGACTGTGACGTCCAGGTCTCATATGATGACTTTACCTACCAGGTGGGGCTGCCTTTCTTTCGCACGGGGTCCCACCGAACAGCAGCACGAGGCATAAATGAAAAAAATACCTTCTTAGCATAGGCGAGTCTAGCCGACTTCGCAGAGGCGGTTATTGCGTCCTCACCCGGATACGCTTCACCAAACGCTCCAAAGTTCATCCATCTGCTATCGTCCTCGGGTGGGATGCTAAGCAGCTCCTGGTCGCTAAACACTGTCTCCGACTTTATACTCACGGTTGTCGTTGAAGTTCAGGAACTCTGCTACAATTTCTTTGAAGCACTTTGGTCTCATTGCATGAGTCATGTTTTTGAGTGCTGTGCAACAAAGATAGAAATATATCACTTGAAGTTTTTAAAGATTAGTAGCACTTTCTAGCAGCACTACAAACGATCAATGCAACAAATTTCGCAAACGATACCTTGATCTGTGCAGAAGTACCCGCACTCTCTGCGATCAGTACCAAAGCAATTCAAATAATATAACCTTGGTTGGAAAAGTTCGGTCACAGTGCTGTAAAGCATGCAAATTGTCGCAATGAGTTTACTAGTTTTTTTTTTCATTGCAAGAATCAATCGTTAAAATTATAAATTTAATTGCATTTTCTCCAATGATATTTTTTGCAGATGACAGCTGCTTTTTCTTTTCTCCACCAAAAAAACATAACAATGCCGAATCCTAGACTGACCTTTGCTGCCGTACACTTTATTTGTATGACTCAAGCACAACCTTCACATCGTGATTTATGGTTATGAAAGTAGTAATATTCAGACGAAAACTCAGCCCGTTTATTTTCTTAATTAAATTTAACAAGGAGAATAGGTCTAGTCGTTTCTAAGTACAAGGAGCAGTTTCTAACGGGGCAACCGCTCGACCACCTGAGAACGTGAGGAGGCATCCGTTACTTTAGAAGGAACCTTAAATAGATTCAATACAGCTAGATGATGACAAATGATAAAATGAGTAAACAAAAATAATAATATAAAAAAGGATAAACACGGACTTACAGTGATCAAAGATCGATATATTTAAGTCAATTAGTTCTGAAGTAATTCATCAATAGCAGCACATAGCTTCGGAGCTTTTTTCCGTAGAAAATATACACGATCGAAGCCAGTGTAAATATTCTTTATCAAGTGTAAACACTTGCGACTTCCCCTTGTACTTTCCAAAATTTAGCAAATACGATCCATCGTCGGGTTCATTACCAAACTTACTCGGTAGAAATTTTGCAATATCAGAATCAGGAGCACTGGCAAGCATTTCCTGAGATCGGAGCCAGCGACAATAGCCTGGATCCTTAAGAAAGACCTCTCCGATGGTTGAACCTTTGTGCTTGCCGAAACAGAGTTGTGTGGACATGGTATCTATATAACAATACAGATTATTAACTGAAATGTATAATAATATTTACCTTAAGCAATTGTAAAATCTAAAATATCACCTGTTAGACGACCATAGTTCAGCTCCTGCTCACAGATTACGAGGACTAGCATATTAACACCCTGGCAACCAGCGTTAACACCTTGAATCTGAATGGCATGTGGTACATCACGTTCCGTCAAGCGACTAACATCAGCAAAGAGAACACGGTTTGTTGGCGACCAAGTTTGGTAGTCAAGTAGACCATTGACAAGTTCAAGAGTCAGATCACCGTTGATTGCACTAATCTTGGCAACCTCGTTGGTGAACTCATGAAAGTCATAATCGTGAGAAATATCAAAGCACTGCGTAGAACCGATGCGGACATTGAAGTTGCGAATCGAAGAGCCAGGGTGTAGAGTCCAAGGTTGAAATTCTTGAGCGAGGGCAGAGTTAAAGCTACTTGTTTGCTCAGCAAACGGGAGCAGAATGACATACTTCGCATTTTTTACACTAGCGGATAGTTGAAGATCAAAAGCTGCGTTTAGTTGTGTTGACTGTTTACCAGTGCCAGCCCGTTCGTAAAACCATTGAGCGTAGCAATCGTTGAAACGTACCTTCTTCACATGTTTTAGACAATTGCCTGGGGGTTCTCTAAATGAACGAATGGTACGTAAAGTTGAGCAGTCGTGAAAGGCATGTACGTACCATCAATAGTAAGATCGAGTGAGTCTACAACAGCTCCCCACGCGATACTGAAACGCGCAGAAGCTGCAAGTACACTCGCCATTGGATTACAAGTGCTTGAGGCGGCAACCATCACGGGACATGTATTACCCGATGCAAGAGTAGTTGAAGTTAGCTTCATCCCCTTACCAGCATCAACAGCCACCGCTGATACACCTTGGTCTACTCTGAAGCAAAGACGGATCTGGGGATTCGCCATTAGATCAAGTTCCTTCAAGATCGGGTGAAGATCATCTAACTTAATCTTAAGCATGTAGTTCCACGTACCTATGATTGCATTGGCAGTAGCAGCTCCAGTTACAAAGGCACCGCGCGCGGTCTGGTTAGCAATGGTTGTAGAAACAGCAGCAGCTCCAAGGGAAGGCCAAGAAGCGCTGAAATCAGAACCAGCAGATGGAGGGTTTGATAGCAGTCGCTTTACAAGACCATCGCTAGCAATAGAAGCTCCACCGGATGGTCCAGTCGCAGCAAACGAAGAAGAAAATGCTGTAGTGTTCTAATAGCCATCACCAGTAGTAGAAGTGACTGCGCTACTGTATAGAACTGACTGAGCAGCATCGGGGTAAAGGAACGACTCCGCTCCATGCTTCTCAACATACTGAGAGCTATAGCCGGTTTGAGCCCGGATGTTATTCCAGAAGAGTTTGTAGTCAGCCATACTCACAATAGTCTTGCCATTTAATTCCAAAGACATCGAATCAATGACGTCCCAGTTTCCACACTTTAGAGTAGCACAGAAACGATTTGCAGCTGTTGTCTGAGCCGTAGTATCGTTTTTCATAGTAACCTTGTAAGGAAGCATGATGTAAGCATCGCGGAGCGGAGTAAATCCCTCACTTCCGTTCAGCTGAGCCGTAGCGTCAATCGTAATAACACCATTCTGGTACGAACCCTGGTTTAGATCAATAACGAACGGCACGCGCTTGCCGGATGATACTTTGATCTCCGAATCGCTTTTCAGCGAGCTTTAGTATAGGTATTGGTCGGAGAGTTGTGTTTCAGACATTGTTGAATCTATATGTCCCTCAATATAGTTTTCATAAAATTAAATATTATGACAGACCTTATCAAGCCTATTACGAGTAATCACGATTTTATAGAACTCGCCGAAAATAAGGCGTTCATCTTGATGATATTTTTGAATCTAGTGAGATTACAAAACCGCTCTCAAAGAAAGGGTCATACTTAATTCTATTGAGGCCACCAAATCTCGATGTAGGACATTGGACGGCAGTCTACAACGGAGAATATTTTGATAGTATGGGCGAAGGGCCTCCACGAAAATACGGAATTAAACGTTACAATAGTAAGCAATACCAAGGGACATACGGTGACTATTGCGGGCCTTTCTGTCTTCTTTGGTTATATTCAAAGCAGCACAATCAACCCAATATATTCAAAAAGATGAAAGATCTGAATTTGACCATTCTAGAATAATTTGTTTCAGAAAATATAAGCATGTATCGTGAATTAACGATTTCTAGCAATGTTCAAGAGCGGAAGCTGACTAAAGCAGTCAAGACCGGTAAACTCAGTCTAACAGCTGACGAACTGAAGGGTAGCGGCAGCGTTATTCATCTTCACCCCGCGTCGCACGAGAAGGCCCTTAAGGCACGTAGAGCTGGGCGTGGTGTTCGACTTGATATCACTAAGCACGAAGTCAAGAAGGGTTACAAACGAGCTCAAGGTGGTTCCATTTGGAACAAAGTTTGGGGAGGAATTAAATCGGCTTTCAAATTCGCAAAGGACAGTGGAATTCTTTCGCGTGCTGCCGATGCTACCGTACCTGCTCTAGCTACTGCTTTCGGAGCCCCACAGGCTGGAATTCCTGCTCGTGCAGCTATTAAATCGATGACAGGTATTGGTATTCACGATAGCGATGACGTTGAGGGGAAAGGAAGGACGGGCGGTCGCGTTTCAGTATCAGCTGATGTCAAGAAGGCTGCAAAGAATGCTCTATCATACGCTAAACGTAAGGGGGTTCTGACATATGCTGTTGATGCTGGAGAAACGTATCTTTTAAGCAGAGCTACAAAACCTGAGCATGAGACACTAATCAAATCTGTACGTGGTGAAGTGCGACGACGCTACGGTGTTGGGGTGCCTAAAAGTAAGAGGCCTGCAAAAGGGTCCGCTGAGATGAAGGCTAGAATGGCTGCGGTTCGTGCTAAGCGAAAGACCGGGGGTAGTTTTAGACTGTAATCAGACAAAAAAAAATGATACAGTCAGTTTATTTTTTGGCCGCAGTAGAAGCATGATAGATACGGAAGTATCACGGAACTTATCCTTTTGGTCGTTTTGGTTATAAATACTGATCGTAAGAGAAGAAGGAGAACCATTGTGACAGTTCATCCACGCATACTGACTTGGTTTATACGAAATCAGCTGGCCAACAGAAGCATCACCGCGGTCGAATGCACTCAGGATATCACCGCTAGCTACGTATTCATTCTTAATGATGTCACATCGCACGATATAGCTCGAGGTTGGGTGAATCTGAGGAATAATGTTCGATAGCTTAGCACTTGCTACAGTAGCAGGAGAAGCAGGGTAAGTTCCAGTCGTTAGACCAACAACCTTCCCAAATGCTGCGTTATCGATGATAACACGTGGTACACGAGTTGTAGTAGGTAAGCCCGTACCACCAGAGCTGTATAGCCCAGCAGCAGGACGACTGAAACCTACAGGTAGACTTGTCGGAGTTGCGCTAAAATCAAACTGTGCCGCATAATATACACTATTTTCACTCAGCTGAATGTAGAACACATTATTTCCCGATGCATCAATCAAATAGGCTCCAGCATTCACCAGAGCAGTCTGAATGCTTCGGTTGATATCTGCATAGGTGTAAATACCGTCAGCAAGAGTAATACTGATGGTAGAAGCTGTAGCAGCTGTTGGTACTTCTACTTTAAATGAGTTATTCAAAAATTGAAGCGAATCGACATTATACTCGCTGTTGTACATAGAGATAGACTGAACAGCGCAAGTAACATCTTTGAAATCAGCTGCAGACCCTGGGAAAGAGTACTTCCACGTGGAATTGTATCCATCTTGAACGAGATTAGTCGAATCAAGCTTAACAAACGATGCCATCTTGATGTATATCAAAAAAATCAAAACTTATGTCGATTTATAATTCGTCATCGATGTGAATGGGATGATCAACATTATATCGCAATTGTCCCTTGACTGAGTCAATGAAAAGCATTTGACCCTTTCTCTCGGTAGCCCGGTTATAGTAACGAACGATTGAACGTTCATCAACGAAATCCTTCACTACCATTGCTAAATCACGCTTCGAATTGGCTTTAAGAATTGCTACATACTCTGAATTAAGTCGTATCATTTTATCTGTGGCAAAGTAGCTATGACTAAGGAATATGGTACTTAGCTTGAAGTGTCTGCCTCGAGTGAAATAATGACTGAAAAGGTTCTTCTGCAGTAGCTTATTATTGCTGTAGTCATCTATGATAATAAGCTCGGGTTTATTGGAGTTTATTGGAGTCCTTCGTACTTGATCAATGCTTGGGGGTGAATCCGGATCAGCAAAAGTGATAAATCCATCTAGTTTATCACGAAGATATTCGTAAAGCTCCTGATGAGGATTGCGAGCAATAATGGTCAAGTGTGCAAACACATGTGGCGCATTTTTAAGAATAAATAGGCAGAGGTTATTCTTCCCACTAAACGAAGGACCCAGTACAATCATTCTGAACAAGGTTTTGATATCTAACGCTGTGATATCACCCATTGATGCAGATTTGAACTTCTTTGGTAGCGAAGCACCGAAATCAGGGATACTGCTCATGATGCACAATTACAGATTGTATGGATTCTCTGATTTCGTTTATCGTCTAATCTATATAGCATCAGACAAAATGAATTCTGGTTTTTCCTATCCGCAGCCAATATTCAATTCAAGTATCTACAACCCTGCGTTCTACTTGGCGATCTGAGTCACTCCCACTCCTCGGGGTGGTACTGGGACGCGATTAAAAAGAGATGGGCACAGGTATGCAAGACACAGATCTATCCGTGCCCCGCGTACTATCCCAACGTTGTGGACCGTTGCTATGGTAGCATCTCCATCAAGAGGCACTTCCTAATCATCGATAAGGATCAGAATCACCACTTCGTCGGCTCTGAGTGCCGCCAAACTTTTTGGTGGGCACTACAAAGTCTGCCTCGGATGTCAAAACCGGTACCGAGGTGGTTATAAGTGCTGTAAGGACTGTCGAGAGCGAGGATTGACATCGTTTAGCGATGAGAAGCTAAGCTTCGGGAAACATAAGAGGAGAAAGCCTAAGAGTCTCTTAGGTGTTGATGACTCGTATATTCAGTTCCTATTCGAGTGCGCCTGTGTATCTGAGCCAGGACTTAGCCCACTATTTGCTAGCAAGAACGACAGTTGGGTTCGGAAAGTACCGCGACAAGACGTTCGAATGGATCAAGGCTAACGACAAAAATTACTTCTGTTGGCTCCAGGGTCTTGACAAGGCTTATGCTAAGTATCTCTGAATCAATTAATTTCGAAAAGTTTTGTCGGGGCTAAGATACAAAGTCATTCCTGATACAGGACCCAACACATATAAAGTCAAGCTCACCGGATTATTATTGCCACACATATATAGCAAACATGCTTGCATACGAGCTTGAAGGATTTAAGCGATTAAAAATTCAAGCTATTAAATGGGGCAGCAGCTACCGAGTTAAGGTTCACGGGAAAACTGGAAGGATGGGTTATGTTAGTAATCTATCCCGCCCAAGCAACCAACAGCTAGTAGCTAAGCAATACAAGGTCAGTGTAGATAAGTTGAAGAAGCATATTTCTTCCGACTACAAGACCGACCCAAAGTACCGTTTCTATAAGGGTAAACAGATGGAATCACACCTTTACGAGGGAATTCAGCCTGCTGGGATTACGATAAGCTTGAAAACGTCCTTGCTAGTCAAAAGAATGCCTTCAAGATCAACATTGCTCTTGGATATGATCGAATGAGCAAAACGGAGGATAGCTTCACACAATATTGGCGTCCTAATCTTGCAAATACTAACTTATTTGAGAGACCTGTTGCTATCAATAGCAAAGCCGATATCCATAAGAAGATTATTTCTGAGATTCAATCGATGGAGCTGGCGGACAAGTTGAAGTATCCTAGCTCTGGCTATAAACTAAAGGCAATTACTGGATTTACAATCTTTATTTACCATCGTGATCATGCCCTAGGAGATAGCGAGGTCGTATTTCCTAAGATTATTCGTGATAACCACCATGTAATTAACTTTCCAAAGACGAACAACAAGTGCGTCTTCCACTGCGTGGCTTGGCACTTACTGGGGGGTAGTAAGAAAGATCCTCGTAAAATCCAAGCGCAGGTGAAGGAAGTGTTCGAGCGCTACTGCTCCTACAAGGGGATTAGCTATACGTTGGGTCTCTTCCGTAGCTTTAAGCCAATCGATCTTTTACAGCTTGACGAGCTTGAAGAATGCTTTCAACTATCCATTAACGTCTACTCTATGGATGTTGATGCTGGGAAGGTTGACTGCGTTCGACGCTCCGATAAGAATTACGATGCTATGAGCATTCTTTCGCACGATCATCACGCTCTATACATCAAGAACATTGACATTGTCACGCGGTAGTGTGAGACGCAGGTAATACAACCTTCAGTTGTAGCCGTAGGACTTGAGTTGTAGGCGGTAAAACTGAGAATGAGATTAAGAATGAAGTTAAAGGAACGAGAGCTACTTGGTGTCGTCCTGCTCTAGCCTAGGAAACCATATGAGAAGCATCTCGGCTATGACTTGTAGAGACGGCTTGGCAGAGCCACGAGTTGCTGGCTGTCCCATTGGACAGCCAGCGTGTGCTCACGTTGAATGCCAAGGTTATGGGTTGAACCATGACAATCTTTCCCCCGAAGAGGAGCATAGCTTCTTAAACAGCAAAAATTATCGGGGAGCCGAAGGCGTTGAGTGGCGTGTTGAACGACGGGGTCTGGAGGATTGGTGTATTTTTTCGTAGATATCAATCAGACCTTGAGCTTGGGTCAAATTAGTAGCAGGTTCCCATGAGTCGTTGACATCTCGTCCATACCAGCGAACCTTGTAATGCAGTGTGCCTCGCCGCACCTTCTTCCCTACAATCGCTTGTACCTGGAATCCCTCGTGACCTTCGCGTGTTATTAGCCGTGGCACGTCGTTTAGATGCCGGGGATTCTCATCGAAGTGATACGATCTCAAATAGGAGACGTGAAACTCGTCATGGATCCGAATTCCCGGTGGTAGCCCAATTTTATAGGTATCCGGCGTTGTTGACTGCACTACTGGGTATGGCCCAATAAACCTTGGGGCGAGTTTTCGCTTTCCAGATACACCAACATGGGGCAGGTCGAGATTAGTCGTATCCAGTAGAACTTGGTCACCAGGCTCGAAGTGATGCGTCGGACGATTACGATCATGGAAAAACTTCATCGTTGCCTGTGCGACTTCAATGGCGTCTTGGCATTGCTGGAGCACTGCTTGCTGGTGTTCCACAAATCGAATCGAAGATTGTGCTTGACCTCTTCGAGTCGGTAAGGCAATTTCACTCACGTATCTGGGGTTGTACCCAAGATCTGCCACAAATGGTGTCATGCCGGTGCTTGAGTGAGCCCGCGAATTGTATGCAAATTCCGCTAGCGATAGTAACTCGCTCCAGTCAGTTTGCAGCGGCGATACAAATGCTCGTAAGTAGTCAGCGATGAAGTGGTTGGTTCGCTCTGTTTGTCCGTCGGTATCAGGTCGAAATGCCGAACTAAGCTGCAGCTGTGTGTTCTGGAACTTCATTAACTTTGACCAAAATGTAGACGTAAATTTACTGTCGCGGTCGGAAGTGATAGTATCTGGTAGGCCATGCAACCGCTGGTATTGGTCTCGGAAAATTTTGGCCGTTTCTTCCGCTGTGCAAGTAGTGGTCGTCGGAATAAAATGTGCCCTCTTAGTAAGACGGTCGACAATTACCCATACAGCATCGTAGAGGCCGTGCCGAGAACGTGGAAGGCCGGTAATAAAATCCATAGTAATTTGGCTCCATCGACGGTCAGGAATTTCTAACGGATGAAGCAAGCCCGCTGGTTTTCGTTGCGATACCTTGATCCTTTGGCACATTTCGCAAGTAGTAACGTATCGCTTCACTGTCTTTTCCATGTGTAACCAGTAAAACTTGTCTTGGAGAGCAAGAAGAGTCTTCAGACACCCAGGATGGCCACTGGAAGCAACATTGTGATGCTCATAAATGATAGCATCCTTCAAATCCTGGCTGTCCGGCACACAAACTCGTCGAGGTGCGTCAGCACGCGGTTGAAAGTACAGGATGTCATCTTCGAGAAAGAAATGGTTGATGTTCGCACGAATCCGGCGGTGAAGCTCCACTGGCGGTGTGGTCTCATCTACTTGGGACGATTGCAGAAGCTGATATAGAGGACCGAACACGGAGTCTTCAGGGTAGAGCTGGGTACATTGCTCCAGAATGGAGGGTCGGCTTCTAGCGTAGTGCAGATAAACGTCTCCGCCACTGTCTTCAGTTTCGTGAGCTGTAGTAAGTTGTCGAAGTAAGCTGGCTAAAGACACGTAATGTGTAGACACCTTTGGCTGAAATGCCGAATTACGGAAAATTGCGTCCGCAACGATGTTTGTGTCGCCTGGTATCCAACGAAACAATGGCTGGTATAATCCCAGCTCATTTAGCCAGCGCGCGAGACGCTGCGAACAAGTCTTCTGCTCCAATATCGTTTGCAGAGTTCGATGATCTGTGTTGACGAAAAATGGCTTGTCGACGAGGTAAACCCTCCAAACGCGCATTGCATGCAAGGCAGCTAGCAGTTCCTTCTCGCGCGTGGGATACATTAATTCAGCGCGATTGAGCTTTCGTCCATTGTAAGCAATTACTCGTTCCTTGCCGTCCGCATCAAGTTGATAGAGATACCCTCCAACAGCATAGTCTGAAGCATCCATCCGGATGTGGAAATCCTTTGACGAATCGGGGTGAGCTAAGACCGGTGGCGATGTCAGCACAGGTTTCAATTTGGTAAAACAATCACGTTGCTCCGGCGTAAGTTGAATCTACTCCTGTGCTGTTTTTCCTTTGGTGGCTTCGACGAGTGGTGCTGATATGTCCGCGTAATTCTCGCAGAATTTCAACACATAGACACAGGTCCCCAGGAATGATTGCAGCTCGCGCTTTGTCCTAGGCGGTGGCCACTCGCGTTTAACTCGGATCTTGTCTGGGTCCATTCGAACGCCATCGCGCCCAAAGTAGTCTCCAAGACACGGAATCTCCGCGGAGCAAAACGTGCATTTTGCCAACTTCACGTAGAGTTCTTGATCCTGGCAGCACTGCAAGACAGCATCCAGTGCACGTAAGTGGTCTTCGATCGCGGTTGACTTCGTGAAAATGAAGAGGTCATCAAAGTAAGCTTGACAGAAGGCTTTCTGATCACTGAAAACATGCTGCATCAACCGATTAAAGGCAGAGGGCTGCACGATAGTCCCATTGGCGTGACCAAGTACTCAAACTGGCCGTCTAGAGTCGAAAATGCTGTGTACGGAATATCTGATTCCCGTAGCCGGACCTGGAAAAATCCTCAAAAAAGATCTAATGCAGAAAACCAGTGACCGTTGGCCATTGCATCGAAGATGTCTTCCTTCCGAGGAATTGGCGTGGCTGGAATGCGAATTTTGCTGTTAATTGCTCGAAAATCGTGAACAATGCGC